AGACCTTTCCGCCCCGACGCTGGACCCGGACCCCCGCCCACCCGGTCCCCAACAGCCCTCTCCTCATCCATCACCCCGCTTACGCGGACCGAACCCCTGACTTCTCCACTCTGGACCCGGGCCGTGACGGTCCCGCTCCTCTCCCCCGCTAGACACCGTGTCCACCTGGACCCGGGCCCTAAGGTCTTCTCTCTGGATCCAGGCACTTCCTACGCTCGGATTCAGACATCCCACACACAAGGGACCCCAGACCTCGGACCCAGGCCCCTTGACCGTGCTGTTCCCTCTCCCTCGCCCCGGGACGACGGTATCGATCCTTCTCCCACCCCCTCTCCACCAGAGCTCCTACCCCCCGGACGCCAAGGGGCCCTGGCTCAGACTTCCCCAGCAGCAGCTCCCAAACTGGCGCGTCGGGGTCGGCCCCTCCCTCGACCCTCTCCTCTCGGTTCCTCCCGAGTCCTGTCACCTCCACGCCCGCCCACCTCAGGCTCGCTCCTCCATCCCCAGGATTCCCTCCCGCACCTCTATCGCCAAGGTTGCTGCTTGGTGGCCCGACGGGTTGACCAGAAGGCTCCATGCTGTAGCTCAGTTTGCCCGAAGAGCGAGGTCATGGGAGGAGAGTTTAGGGGTCCTAACTGTCAGACCCTGCCTCTTTCAATGGCCCCACCCTGCCCTGGTTGCCTTGCCTTGCTCTCACCCCAGTTGCTCTTCTGCCCTTTTGTCCCGCAGATCCCGACTGGGCCTCTTATAAGCTGGGAATCTTCATTTGTCTGAACTGCTCTGGCGTCCACCGCAACTTCCCAGATATCAGCAAAGTTAAATCCCTGAGACTTGACTTCTGGGACGACAGCATTGTGGAGGTAGAACCGGGTGTGCTTGGAGAGCTTTAGAACAACAGAGCTGACATGAAGAGGGCGAACAGGGCCCCTCATTCTAAAGAGGAGGAAATTGGGGCCCGGAGAGGTGCAATAACATTAGAGTTGTAGTTTAGATAGAGGCACTGTGGACAGAGGTCGTGAGTTCAACTCCTGCCTCCATCGCTTGCTTGCTTACACGCTACTTACTTCACTTACTTGCAAGTGAAACCCTGAGCCAGTTACTTGACTCTAGTTCTGACCCCTCAGTTTCCACATCTGTGTTATGGGGAAACCGCTACCCTTTGACAGGGCTCCTGTAAGGAAGAACTGTAGGCATGGAGTTTTATTATTGAGGAAGTTCCTAGACTGGAGCAGAAGTATGGTCTGTGGTTCCTGTCTTCTCCCTCCAGCCAGGAAGGGGACCGCTCTGCTCTTGTGGCGTCTGGGGATGGGGGACACATCCAGCCAGGATGGTAATGCCATTTTGGTCAGAAAAATCTTCAGCAAGCAGGCAATTTTTAACTGTGCTGGTTCACTGAGGGTCTATTGGGGAAGCAGGCTGACATTTACTCAGTGCCTTTTGCCAAGTGCTGAGCTCAGCGCCACTGGGCTAGATGCTTCCGTTATTCATTGATTCAACACAGAGTGACAGCAAGCCTATGTGCTGGGTACTGGGAAAGAGCTGTGAGCAAGACACGGTCTCTTCCCATATGGAGCTTACATTCTAGTACAGGAGAAAGACAGAAAACCAGGAAATCAGCACAAAACCTGAAGAGTATTTGCATCACATAACTCCTTTTCCAGGTAAATATTATTTTCTTCATTTTTACAAGTGAGGTCCCTGAAACTCAGGGTGTTAAATATTGCCCAAGCACCACACAGCGAATGAATGGCAGAGTGGGGATTTGAATGCTGTTCTCTTAGCATCCAAAACCATACAAATCCCTTGACAGAATCCACTGGCCTCTAGAGAGGGGAAGAGTAGGGTTCACTTTGCCCGAGAGATTGGTTTAAAGCGCTGGCGTTTCTTCCCACCCTCTTCACCCCGAGTATGCCACCACTGTTACTGAGGCTGTCTTAGGTGTCAGCGAGCTCCACTCAGCATCCTGCCCTATGTGCTCTGTGGCGACAGCACCCACTACTTCCATCTTCCAGCTGCATCACTCTCCTGCAGACTTTCAGAGACTGCTCCCGGGGGTCCTGGCTGTCTGTGGAGGAGGTGGGAGAAAGAACATGGGCTCTGGAGTCAGACAGGTCTGGGTTCAAATTCCAGCTCTGCCATTTACTAGCTGAGTTACCTTGGGCAAGTCACCTAACTTCTCTGAGCCTCAGTTTCCTCATCTCTAAAATGGGAATACTAAAACCCAAACCAAACTCACTGCCATTGAGTTGATTCCAACTCATAACAATCCCTATTGGGTTTCCAAGGCAGTATAGGAGCTGTGGTGGCATAGTGCCTAAAGCACTTGACTGCTAACCATAAGGCTGGCGGTTCAAACCCACCAGCCACTCCTTGGAGGGAACGTTGGGCAATTTACTTCTGTAGTGATATTGCCTCGGAAACCCAAGGAGGGGTCACTGTGAGTCAGGACTGACTCTACGACAGTGAGTTTGGTTTGTTGGTTATCTTTACAGAAGTGGATTGCCCAGTCTTGCTTCTGCAGAGTGGCTGGTGGGTTTGAACTACCAACTGGTTAGCAGTCAGATGCCTTAGACACTGTGCTACCAGACCCCCTTAAAATAGGGATAGTAGTAATGTTTCCGAGGTGGTATCACTATGGAAGTAGATTGTCCAACCTTCCTTCCAAGGAGTGGCTGGTGGGTTTGAACTGCCAGCCTTCTGGTTAGCAGTCAAATGCCTTAGGCACTAAGCCATCAGAGCTCCCAATATTAAAACGATACAGAAGACTGAATGAGCTAATGTATGAGAACTGTAAAGTGCTCTGCCCAGATGACCAAAACCAAACCAAACCCACTGCTATCGAGTTGTTTTTGACTCATAGCAACTCCCATTGGGTTTCCAAGGTGATAAATCTTTACAGAAGTAGATTGCCCTGTTTTCCTTCCATGGGGTGGCTGGGGTTTTGAACTGCCAACCCTCTGGTTAGCAGTCAAATGCCTTAGGCACTGCGCCACCAGAGCTCCTGCCTAGATGAGACATGGTTATTATTGTGTCTCATTTTTCAGGCTGGGGCTTCCTAGCAGCTCGGATGACCCAGGCCAGTGGGATGTCTCCCTTCTCGGGGCAGTGTCTTCTGACCCAGTGGCACTGATGACTTTCTTGGTAGACTGTGGTTTCATTTCACATTTTTTTAAGTGTTGAGATTACCCCAAGTTGCTGTTGTCTTGTAGTTTATGAGCCACAATGGGAACCTTCAAGCGAAGACCAAGTATGAAGCCAGAGTTCCTTCTTTCTACTATGTCCCCCAAGCCGACGACTGCATGTGAGTGGATGATAATTTAGGGGTGGGGAGTGTTCCTTGTCCCACCTCTCCCACCTCTCCCCCATTTCAGTAGCTCTGTCTGTGTTGGTCCCCTATGCACTTCGTCAGCGGGTGACCAGGGCAAGCATTGGGTACCATCACAGAGAGCACATAGCGCCGGCGGTCAGGAGACCTGATTTAAGCCTTGCTCTGTGACTAATGCTTGGGTGTTTCACTTCCACTCTCTGCGCTTCAGTTTTCACAGCTGAGAAATTGTTCTCTGTGATCTGTCCCTCTGCCTCTGATGGTCTCGTTGCCTGCGGATCATGGCTAGCTTGACAGAGGAGAGAATTGCTAGCATTGTACTAGAACAAGTGTGTTTCAGCTTCTTTCTAACTGTGCCTGGGTCTGTCCCATCTAAGCTCAGCTTGATGCCAAAGCAGCTGCCTGGGCCCTAGCTTCTTAAATAATAACCATAAAAATAATACTAGATGCTAATTTTTATTGAGTTTCACCTACCCAATTGGCCCTGTGCAAAATGTTTGTTTATCAATTTGTTTAATTTGATCAACAATCCTTTGAGATAAGTACTGTTGGTATTCTTATGATATAGAAGAAAAACCTGACACTTACAGAGGCAGAGCTGGGACTGGCTTGTCTAACTGGGTCACTGGGTCATTGGGAGAATCCATTATAACAGAGGAGCTATGAAGCGGCAGGGTTCAAGTCCCCTGAAAGTGAGGGATCAGTGGGACACTGGTACCTAGTAACCACTGGACCTCTGTAGACTGACTGCCTGAGCCTCCTTCCCAGGGACTCAGCCTCACTGCTAGGGCCTCTGGACAGTGCCTTGTATAAATGGGAAAAAGGCACCCCTCGAGGCAGACACAGCCTCAAGGGAGAAATGGCTTGCAAGCTTTCTACTCAGATCTCAGTTTCCATTCCTTTTTCTACCAGTACATAGCTGTGAAATGGTGGGCAAGTTACCAAACCTCTCTGATCCTTGGCATTCTCATCTCTGAGATGCAGATAATGATACCTGCATGCTAGCGTGTTTGCAAAGGTTAAATGAGATTATGTCTATAAAGCATCTCATGTGACACCTGGTGCGTGGTAGGTGTTTCATAAATATTACTCAGAGTACTGCCTTCAATGTGAGTTTCTGAATGTTGCCTGGTCCCTGAATTAGCTGAGGGATGTGCCGGGGCTCAACTTGAGTGGGCCTGTCTCATCTTGCCTCACTGTTGGTACTCAGCCTTTTGCTTCAGGGGAAAAGGAGTGGACTCCTACTGTTGTTGTTGTTGTTATAGCGACTCCTCCTTGAGTTATCGAGGCAGTATCACTACAGAAGTGGGGCTAGACTTTCTGCCAGCACTTCACAGACATGCCTTGCTGTGACTCCAACAACTGCCCTGCACTTTAACCCCTATAACTGAATATTAATGGCTTCCTCTCCCCAGTTCTAAACTCCTATAATTCCCCCACCTCCAACAGCAGGATTGGTGCCCCTTGGCCCCCATTTCCTCTCCTTGCTCTGATCCAGTGGCCCAGAGTTCTCACCCCCTGGGGCGGTTAGACTCTTCAATATCCTGGGTGTGAGGGCTGTGCATCAGGCAGGACTTCTGACTGTAAGAGACAGAAACTCAATTTAAAGCACCTTAGGCTAAAGGGGATTTTATAAATTCTGGGGATCAGACCACAGGAGGGACAACTGTTGAGCCAGCCTCAGGAAGGATCAGGGGGCTCAAACACCGTCAGGTCTCTCAAACTCTCTCTGGTTCTCATCACTGCTTCCTTCTCAGCTGGGCTTCCTCCATGCAGCTGGGAGCAAGGCTTTGCCAGGTCTCCAGCTTATGTCTCCCAGGTTGGTCCCAGAGAGTCCTCCTGATTAATCCCTCTTTGGATGTTGGTCCACACATCTAAGGGAAGAGCTCTGATTGACTAGACCAGTTTGGGCCAGATGCCCAGTCCCATTTGCCTGCAAAAGAGGAGAGGGAACCAAACAAATAAAATAAGCCCATTCTTGGCTGTGTGGTTTCTCTGCAGAGGTCATGCATGCATTGATTGCCTACTATGTGCTGAGCATGGCCCTAGGCCCTTTATATACATTCAACTTCTCAACAATCCCAATGAACAGATAGGTATACTGTATTTTTTCATATATAACACACCCACAGAAACAACATACACATGCATATAATGCACATAGCATGCGTAGGCAACTAACACGCAAGAGGGTTATGCAGTTTGCAAAAACAGTATAATGCGTGTGTTACTTGTAAAAAAATATGGTACTATTATTGCCATATTCCCCATGTTCAGAGTTAAGTAACTTGCTGTTGGTCATACAGTGGCTAAATGGTAGAGTCGGACTAGGTCCCATGTGATTTGACACCAAGATCATTGCTTTGTCCAGTACAGCGTGCCCAGGTTTCAAGAATAGGCCACAGCAAGAGAAGCTCTTGGATCCTTCCAGCTTAAGCATGAGCAAGCCATGGCAGGTGGTAATGTAGATGGTCCAGGGAAGCCAGATGCCCACCTCATTGATACAGAGGCTGAAGTTGGGCTTGGAATAACCAGTGGTTCTGAATTGGAGGGAGACATCTTTGGTTGTCACAACTTGAGAGGGTGGTGGATGTGCCACTGGCACCTGGTGGGGAGAGTCCAGGGGTGCTGCTAAACATCCTTCAAAGCACAGGACAGTTCCTCACAAGAAAGAATTATCTGGCCCCAAGTGTCAGTAGTACTGAGGTTGAGAAGCCGGAGCAGGCTACAGCACAGGTGCTGTGATGCCCCACCCTCAGCTGCAAGGGTCTTGGGAAATTATCGTGGGAAGAAAATGCAGCAGACATGGCTGACCAAAGGTTCTCTCTATTAAGGGTCTTAAAGGAACAATGGATTCGAGCTAAGTATGAGAGACAGGAGTTTATGGCTGAAGGAAAAACCATCTCACCCCCAGGTAAAGTTATTTTCATCATTTTTTCAAGTCTGTGTTCTGATGAACTCTAGAAATCAAAGTGCCTGAGTATTAGGAGCAAGATCCAACCAAGAGATGCCTCCTGCCCCATGTGGGTTCCTCTGCCTCTGAAAAGATTAGCAACACATTAGTTGGTGGTGTCTTATGGTCTGAACAACAGTGAAGTATGTTTGTCTTGGGTTCTTTCAGGGCCTTTGTACAAATGAGAGAAAGACTGCCTCTCTGGACAGACCAATTAGAAAAAGGCATCCCTGCTCTAGGCTATAGTAGATCCTGGTGGGGTACAAGGCTTGGTAAGGAGTATGGGCTGGATTTCAGCTTCCCTTCCTGCTTTTGTGCAAGGCACAGCTTCACTAGTGGAAGTTTCTGCCCAGCTTCTCTCAACCTAGGCCAACACTGACCCAAAGAGCAAAGTGTACAAAACCACTCTTCTTGTTCTTCTTCTTCTTTTTTTTAACTTTTCAGTGTGATTTGGGTTAAAGTTTACAGAGCAATTTTGCTTTCCATTTAACAGTTCCTATAGATCTTGCTAGGAGCTCTGGTAGCACAGTACCTAAGGCACTTGACTGCTAACCAGAAGGCTAGTGGTTCAAACCCACCAGCCACTCCTTGGAAGGAAGGTTGGGCAATCTACTTCTGTAGTG